CCTAGAGCAGGGGGCTGGACTTGATGACCTTCTGAGGTCTCTTCCAGCTCTATGCTTCTATGATTCTAATTAAAACATAACCATCAACAGGAGATGAATGTTCATTTTTTTATTTCAAATCGATCAAGCTTGTATTTAGGGACAAAAGTAGTAGGGTACGTCTACATTTGCTCCCTATCTCGAGATAAGGATGCAAATGTAGCCAACCGAAATTGCGAACGAAGCGGGGATTTAAATATCCCACACTTCATTAGCATAATCTCACCCACATGCTATTCTGATCACCATCTTATTCGAACCAGGAAGTGTGCTCCAGGTCGAATCAAGGGGTTTACTTAGAACTAACGCGGCCCAGAGCACACTACCCGCAGTCTGGCATCAAAACGTGAACATTTACATTTTGTGTGTTTGAATAAGATTCTAAAATTCATTCAAAAGAAGGGCCTTGCTAGACTTCTAAAAGTTTCTCTTTTCAAGATAAGAAATGGATATTTTGTTCAGAGATCAATTTTCATGACATTTTGATTTTCTATATATTTTCAACATAAAAATCTTTAATACAGAAGTTTGAGGAAAACAAATTATGGGGGCTACAAAATAGTCCAGAAAAATAATTTTTACAACATTTATTGAGGAGAAGTTCACTATTTCCACATATCACCATGTAACCTCTTCTTACAAGATGGCCCTTGACTTTATTTATAAAAATAACAGTAGCTGACTACACTAACCCAAATAGCATGGGTTTCTACTGAAAAGTTTACATATCTTAAAAATAATTTACCTAGGGAGTATTATCATCACAATTTTAACATGAAGTGAAAAGATGAATTCAGCAGCCTATCAGGATAACCAGTGACCATTCTTTCATTTGGCTATAGTGTAAAGATTCCAAGTTTGGGGTCTGAGAAACACTATGGGGTTGCAGCATGCAGGATATAAAGCTAGCCTCAACAAGGACTACAAACTTAAGGAGTACTGAAAAAAATGTATAAAACCACATTTTAGCAAGTTTTTCTTGTGTCCTGATTTGATTTTAAGGATGCATTGAATTAGCTTGTCCCCCCAGATGCAGATATGAAACTACATGGGCTTTATTGTGCCATAATGTCACTTCTAGGAAGCACTGAATTGCTAGATCCTCCCTCCCCGCCCCAGATGCAATTATTGTCCCAAATGCTTAAGTGCTTTCGTGGATGCCCAAATAGGTGCAGCTCCTTGACACAGTAGAGTAATATCTGCTGGGTTTCTAATACATGCAACGGTGTATTAAGATTTTGTGGGGCCCCAGGCTTGATCAAGAGGGGTCCTCTCTGCCTCCCTTCTGCCTGCAGTCCCACCTTCCTTCCAACCCTTTCTCCTGTGACCTCATAAGATGATTGTGTTGAACAGAGAGCATTGTCTAAGTGTCAAATGGGGGAATGTGTATTTTACTACTCTTTTCTTCCTTTGGTCAGGATCCTAAAATCTACCATCTCATGATCACTGCTTCCCAGGTTGTCACCCACCTCTACTTCCCCTATTAGTTCCTCCCTGTTTGAGCAGAAGGTCAAGCTGCGCATGGCCCCTAGTCAGATCCTTCAGCACTTGTGTCAAGAAGTTATCCCCAACGTTCTCCAAAAACTTCCTCGATTGCTTGTGTACTGCCGTATTGGTTTCCCAACAGATGTCAGGGTGATTAAAGACCCCTACGGGAACCAGGGCCTATGATCTGGAAGCTTCTCTCAGTTGTCGGAAGAAAGTCTAGTCTACCTCATCCACCTGATTCGCTTGCCTATATCAGACACCAACCACAACATCACTGCTGTTGTTTGCTCCTTTAAACTTAACCCATAGACTCTCAACGGGTTTTTCTCCCTCTTTATACTGGAGTTCAGAGCAACATAGTGCTCTCTTACATACAGTGCAACTCCTCCTCCTTTTCTCCCCTGCCTGTTCTTCCTGAACAGTCTATACCCTCCCATGGCAGCGATCAAGTCATGCGAGTCATCCCACCAAGTCTCTGTTATCCCAATTAAATCATATTTCTTGGACTGGGCCAGGGCCTCCAGTTCTTCCTATTTGTTGCCCAGGCTTCTCACATTAGTGTACAAACACCTCAGATAACCAGTTGATTGCCCTATCTTCTCCATTTGAATCAGGGATCCTCCTTTGTTGCTTGTTCCTCTTTGCATTTCTTCCCGGTATCCGACTTTCCTACTCCCCTCAGGGTTTTGGTCACCGTCCCCTGATGAACCTAGTTTAAAGCCCTCCTCACTAGGTTTGCAAGCCTGCCTGCGAAGATGCTCCTTCCTCTCTTGGTTAGGTGGATCCCATCTCTTCCTAACAATTTTTGAGCCCGGAACAGAGTCCCATGGTCGAAGAAACCAAAGCCCTCTCTGCGACATCACCTGCGCAACCACTCATTTACTTCCTCAGTTTGACGATCCCTGCCTAGTCCTTTCCCTTCAACAGGGAGGATGGACGAGAACACCACTTGCGCTCCGAATTCTTGGATCCTTCTTCCTAGCGCTACATAATCTGCAGTAACCTCTCAAGGTCATTCTTGGCCATATCGTTAGTTCCCACATGGAGAAGCAGGAAGGGGTAGCGATCCGAAGGTTTGGTAAACCTCTCAGTCACATCCAGAATGCGAGCTCCCGGTAAGCAGCACACCTCTTGAGATTCCAGGTCCGGACGGCAGATGGATGGCTCAGTCCCTCTTAGGAGGGAGTCCCTGACCACCACCACCCATCGTTTTCTTTTAGGGGTGGTGGCCGTGGAACCCCCATCCCTAGGACTACGCATCCCATGCCTTCCAGTAGATGGTGTTCCCTTCCAAAGCATTCAGCACTGCAGAGCCTGTGGAGAGAGCCTGAAAGCGATTACTTACCTCTATAGCATTGGGAGATTCCCGTGCTGGCCTTTTTCCCCTTCTAGAAGTTACATGCTGCCAGTTCTCTTCCTGGTCCTGTACTGCCCTCTCCGGCTCTTCCGCCTACTGTGCTTGAAGGATCAAACGCTGCCTTCTATCAAGGAAGTCCTCATCCTCTCTGATCGAGCATAGGGTCGACACTTGGGCCTCCAGTCCTCCAATTTTTTCTTCCAAAATATCGACCAGCTTGCACTTAGTGCAGATGAAATCCGTTCTTTCTTCCGGGAGGAAGACAAACATGGCACACTCCGTGCAGGTAACAGCAGACCTATCAACATCCATCGCTGCTGTCTTAGAGAAGGGATTTAAAAAGAAAGGCAAGAGAACCTCATGCCCTTCCCTCTCCCCTTCCAAACTCCCTCTCTAAACTCCCTGTTAGCACTCACCTGTTCATAAGCTCTTTGGTCGCTTTCCCACTGCCTTATAAAGTCCTGGAGTGCCTGAAAGTCCCTCTCCCTACCAAGGCTCAGCCAATCAGCAGAGGCTTCTAGAATTCAAACTTTAATTAGAAGCCAACAGTTTCCACCTGCCAATCACAGCATACACTCCATGAAGGAGAGAGGGAGGGGATGTGGAGGAAAAAAAAAAAGCCTCACTCACAAACATAGGGGGAAAAAACAAAAGAAAAGAACACACACCAACCCTCATTCACAAACACAAGCTCAGCACGCAGTAAGAAAGCCACAATAACACCACACACTTCCCTCAAGAGTCCTGTATCTGCTTCTCCTTTACCTAGAGAAATCTCTCTCTAAACTCCCTGTTACCCCAGAGTCTCAGTAACAAGCATAATCTTTTGAATTAATTTAGAATTTAGGATAAGGGATCTGATTGATGATGTTAAATGCTCTGGTTACCAGAAGGGAGGCCCTTGACACCGTATCTGATCACCGGTGATTTCTCCCCCCCGCACCCCAAAAAATACCACGCTTGGAGTCCAGATTAGAGTTCACTAATATATTGTAGAATTTAATTTGACAAGTGCATGAACAAGAACAAAAAACAACAACCAACAAATCCAACCCCTACCCCAAAACAGAAGAGAAGGAAGACAGAAAGACCCCAATACAGGTAAGGTATTTATACGTTACAACAGACTCTGTATTGCCAATGGTGGTACTGCTGCTTGCAACCTTCTACCTTTGGGCTCAGGCTAGTCCTTAGGGAGGAACCGCAAGTGATCCCTCTCAGTTCTGGGATGATTCTTGTTGGGCCTTCACCACAACGGAGTGTTTCAGGGATGGTGACGATGTTATGGTCCGAGGCGGGTAGAGATCAAACACCTCTGCTTGGTGTATCCCAGATCACCAGTGCTGAGCCTTCACCACAGCATGGTGTGGGAACCCACCGCAGTTGTGAATGATCCCTATGTCCTTTCCCTCTGTGGTGCTGTGCTGCCCTCGCAGACACAGACTGGAACACTGACCACCCACACCTGGGTGCAGTGCTTTTTTTTCCCCTTTTAGAACCTTTGGCAGGTAAACTGTAAACTAAACTTGTGTAGGGTGGTGTGCACAATTCCGGGCAGGGTGCAAAGGATCTTGTGTGCCTAGTGCAATTTTGGTACTGGGTGCAGACACTCAAGGTGGGAAAAGTTTAACTGACTTTCCAGAAACTCCATTTTGTTTTCCAAAACTCCATTTTGTTTTTACTTACTGATGGCATCAACCGCTCCTTTAAGTGTGCACGTTACCTACATCCTATTTACAACAATTACATTACATTATAAACAAATCAACATTATAACACCACTCTAACATCCCTGTTAGCACTCACCTGTTCGCTGGTGAGGAGTAACATGTATGTCAGTGATAGTGGTATGATAAATAAATAAATTAACGTTTATGTTTCTGCAGGTAATTAAAATGTTTCTGATTTTTAAAAGAGCATAATATTTGCCAATTTAGCCAAATAATCTCCTGAAGATAGGCTTCTGCAGTTGTTTATGTAAGGACCAGTATACTTTCAATGCTTAATAAATAATTCTAGAAAGCATCAAGTCGTCAATATATGAAATGTGTGAAAAGAGATGCACTAGGAAATAATTAGGTATTTAAATATGAAGTTAAACCAGACATTTCATCCTGATTTAAATTATACACACACAGCAGCTTTTGCAAGAAACAGAGCAATGTAGTCCAAACTAGAATATCTTTCTAAAACTGGCTTATTTTTGCCCACATGACACTCTTCCTTTTAGAGGGCTATTTTTGACCAAAAAGCCTGTAAGCAACATAAAGTTTCATATAATTGTATTCAGTGAGTAAGCAAAAAAGAATGTCTGACTTAAACAGCAGCTGAGCGTACTTCAGGAATACACATCAGCAAAGCAGAACAGATTTTTTTTTAACTATGTGCCATCTGGAAAGCAGACCTTAATGTGCACACAGCAGTAGATAGGCTGACTCTTGAAAACCAACAGAGCAGAGCTATGGCACTTTCTAATTCTGTTACAAATGCACATTGTTTAAAAATTCTGTTTTTAGAGAATGGGTTGTTAAGGGAAATCAGGAACAAAGCCAGCAGTTGGGTAAGTATTCTGAAAAGCTAATCTTTTCCCTGTGGGTTCGTTCTCCTTTTTAATATATTAATAATTTTAATGCTAGGTATTTTGCACAGAATAAGATGGCAATCTCTTTGGAAATTTGGGAAAAAATGCCCATATCTGAGAGCAGGACATGAGGATGCTTTAGGGAGGTGTGAATGGAGAGAATGTCTGCAGATATTTCTTGTAATCTACCGAAAGAAATACAGTACCTTCAGTCAGAGTCACAGGCTGAGAAATAATCTTTCTAGATATTTTCTGATATAGAAGAGGCAGAACAAAAGGACAGTTTGTAAAATATAGGACTAATTTTAGATAAGCCTCATTCTCTCTAGAAGTAGAAGCTTGGCTAGAGAATAAAATGTCTGTCTGCATAGTTACTCCTAAGCAGGAAAATGTAAGGCTTAAAAGTCATACCCCAGGGTTATCCCTAAATAGATTTGATTGTGAATTCTCCCCCTTTTCGCATAGAGGAAATGCTGCCAATTAAGAACCATTTCTGCCCAGCTCCGTACAGCTAGCTTCATATAGGGATCTATGCACATCTATCTTGGTACACATATGGCTTCCTTTATGGTAGTCCCTTAGTACAAATTGATTGTGGTTGGAGTGGGTTTGTTTTTCTGATACAGCAGTTATTTGTGCAAACATCTGTGCAGCCCAGAGTTACCTTTCTTTTGTCCTCATCTGCCATTGGTAGAGCAGAAGCCAATCCTAAAAAGCATTTCCTGGTTTCAGACAGAACGAGGTGATCCTGAGATTTGTGTGTGAGAGGAACAATTCAGGGAAAAATCTTTAAGGTTTTCTTTTTCCCCTCCCTCTAGCCTTAGCCTGTTTGTTTTCTACCTAAAGAGGCAGACTAGTCATTAGAATTAAGAACTTTATAAAGCAGACTACAATTGTTGCCTTCTCATTTCTGAGCTATATTAATGAACCAGAAATTAATTATGAATAGTTGGTCAGTGAACATATCAGTGTCTAAAGATGTATACACAAGCATGAAGGAGTGAAGTCCACATGTCAATGATTGCTTTTTGTCAAGTGGTTTCTGTACCTATCTGTAAAACAATAGTGATTACTACAGAGAGGAAAAAATTCAGTCATGGGGGCAGACTTTCCTTAAAATTGCTAGTACAGATGGGAGATTAGTAGCAGGTTAAAATGTTGTAGGTGATCCCTGATTGAGAACCTGCGTGCTCCTTTGATCTTCTTTTGGAATAAGTTTTTGCGGAAGAGATCTTCCGGAAAAGCTTATTTCGAAATAGAACATCCACACACACCTTTTTCAGAAAAAGCTTGTTTGGAAAAAGGCTTATTCTTCGTGGAATGAGGTTTTTACTGCCATCAGAAAAAGTTCTCCGTTATTTTGACTTTCTGTTGAAATAACGCAATTGCAGTGTGGATGCCAGTATTGTTTTTCTGGAATAATGGACATCATTCTGGAAAAACAGTGCAGTATAGATGCACCCTAAGAGTATTCACTATTGAAAACTTTGGCAATAATACTGTAATCCCAGATAGGGAGAGGCCTCACATCTGTTTCAAAATGTTAAAATCCTCATTCTGGTCCAGCACTGCTTCTCTTGAGATTGTTTTTGAAACTCTATTGATTTTAATGCTCCATGATCAGGTCCTAAATTTCTAGTTTGTTTACCTTAATTTCCTATTATTTTTGTTTAGGGAAGTCTTAAGATAGTTTTAGTCCATTAAGTCCATTTATAAAATAACTATACGTATCCAAAATCCAACTTCCTTAAATGCTAAATCTGAAACAGAGGAAGTGAGGCCATGTATTGTCAGTACAGGCAGTCCCCGGGTTACGTACAAGATAGGGACTGTAGGTTTGTTCTTAAATTGAATCTGTATGTAAGTCGGAACTGGCGTCCAGATTCAGACACTGCTGAAACTGACCGCCAGTTCTGACTTACATACAGAATCAACTTAAGAACCCCAGGCATCCCCAAGTCAGCTGCTGCTGAAACTGATCAGCAGCTGATTCCAGGAAGCCCGGGGCAGAGCAACTCTGCCTGGGGCTTCCTGTAGTCAGCGCTGGTCAGTTTCAGCAGAAGCTGACTTGGGGACGCCTGGGGCAGAGCAGCTGGGGTG